AAATGCAGAAAAATGAAGGAAATCACATCCACCCTTTTCTCAGCTCGTATCCGATACAAATAGGGATTTCTCTTTAAGCTGATAGTCCGACACAATGGTAGCGCATACATAGCTACATCTCTTCCTGAAGGCTGTGAAATTCTGGCTAAATTAGGCCTGGAGGACGATCCCTCACCTCAACGCCCTCCTTCCACTCCTCGAATATCTTCCATTTGGCATACTCCATCTCCACGAAGAGACGAAGAGAAAAGAGGAGAGTCAGGCAAGAACCAGGATGAAAGGATTCTGCTCATTTATACGTCATTCACTCTTTGGATGGGTTTTTGGACAATGCTGCAATCTCTTCATACTCATATATATTATGTTTGATCTCCTCTTCATCTATATGGATGAGCAAAAGTTCAGCAAGGGTCATCAGGCCTTTTACTTTACCGTCCTTATGCTGGTGCTATAGGACTCTGGGACACGTGACCCCACCCTGCCACCTAGCATGGCCGAAGATGTCACCGCCCAGTTGCGTGGTGGCTGCTCCTTCTCCCGTGGCAGAGTTTGGGCCCTTTGATGTTTAATTTTTTTGGCTTTTCGGGAAAGGCGGATAGCCTACCTGATCCATGGTTTATTGCAATTTCTTTAGTTGTAGGGCCTCTTAAAGCTCCAATTCTATTTCTTTATGTTTCTATTTTTGTGATAATTTTGGTACATGATGTTGTTTATACACCAATTTGTGGACCTCCGGGCCGCCATATTGGGACTTGGATGCTCCATAAATTGGTACTGGCGGATTTTTGCCTTATCTGATGTGGATCTGGATGCTCCACTGACTAGACAAATTATATTGGATACTTTTCAGATGAATACCATAATGCTGATTGATGTGACTCTTGTTTGCCATGGTAATCCAGTGTATCTCACATAATGTCCAGGTTTCAAACTCACCAAATAAGCGTTTTTTTAAAACTGCCTTCCTTCAGTGTAAACACCTAGGGGCAAAAAATTATTTTACTACAGGAAACTCATTTTGCAGCCGCTAAACACCCAACATATTTTTCATAGATCTTACAAACAGGGGTTCTACACCTTACACTCCACTAAAAATAGAGGTGTGGCGATTTTTTTTTTACGTAACTCATTTCCCTTCAATATTCAACATGTTTATCACGACCCTGAGAGCAGATTCATCATTATTAAAGGCACCCTCTCTGGTCGTGAACTCACGATCGCTAATGTCTATGCACCAAATTCGACGCAAGCATCCTTCTTCTCCCGCTTTTTCAAATTTATGGATGAGTTTCTATCACCTCATTTATTGGTGGGAGGTGATTTTAATTTGGTAGCTAACCCCCTTTTAGACCGAAGCTCATCCTCACCATCCTCCCAAGCCTTCCCAAAAATCCCTTACCAAATAATTAGATACACTTCAACTGGTAGACTCCTGGAGGGCACATAATGTAGGAGCTAGAGATTATTCATTTTACTCCCACCCACATGACTCTTATGCTAGACTAGATTATATATATTGCTCCCCCATTCTGCTAGCTAACTCTAGTAAAGCTTGCATTCATTTAAAGCCCTGGTCGGATCATAATATTATCGTGCTATCTATCACTTTCATAGGTTTAGCACCTACTCCTTGCTACTTAACGACTCTGTGCTTACAGATACTAACTCTCGCCAAGAAGTAGTTACCTCCATTCAAGAATACTTTGTCAACTCCCGATATCTCCCTGGCCTTCTTGTGGGTAGCCCATAAGGTGGTCCTGCTAGGCCGCCTCATTTCCATGGCTTCTTCTAGAAATAGATAGCGGTGAAAACAATCTCAGAAACTTACCCGAGAAATGAAAGCACATTATAAAGCCTATGTTGGCAATCCATCTCTCCTTAATAAAACACTGTTATCGCAAAAGCATCTAGAACTGAATACTTTACTCTCCCAGAAAACTGAAAAAACCTCTACGCTGGCTGAAGGCCTCATTTTTATTACATAGTAACTCAGCCTCTACTGTGTTCGCACGGAAATTAAACCACTCTATACGACCCCCACATATCTACAAGTTACGTACTAAATCTGGCAGTATCTCCTCTCTTCCCCGTGAAGTCCTGGGTATTTTTGAACATTTTTATTCCACACTATTAGCTCCCCCACAACCAACCTCCGCTTCTTCAAACGGCTCATGGCTTGTTTCTATACCCCTCCCTGCTCTCACACCCTCTCAGATATCCTCTCTCAATGCCCCATGCACTTTGGAGGAAATAACCAGTGCGATTAGCACACCAAAAACTTCCACAGCACCGGGCCCTGATGGGTTTACTTCCAGTTATTATAAACATTTTCCCCCTACATTGGCTCCCTTTTTGATGTCCTTATTCAATGATGTTTTGCAGGGAGGTAGGTTTCCTGAGGAGATGCTGTTGGCTAACATGTCTCTATTACCTAAACCACTAAAAGACCATCATTTACCTCAAAACTATAGACCAATCTCCGTAGTGAACAATGATTTGAAAATATTCAGCCGCATTCTGGCAGATAGGTTGGCCCCTATTATCTCCTCTTTGGTCTCTCCGGACCAATCAGGATTTATCCTAGACAGACTTATTACGGACAACATTCGTCTCACATTAAATGTTATTCAGGATGCCAATTTAAATTCTAAAGAAGTTTTGCTGCTGAGCCTGGACATAAACAAGGCCTTTGATAGTGTCCTCTGGCCCTATTTGTTTTCATTACTGCAGAAGATGGGCTTTAGTGCAGAATTTCTGCCTGGTGTACATACCTTATACGACTCCCCCAAAACAAGAATAAGACATCCAGGCTGTAATTCAGATTTTTTTCACACTGGGCCGGGGCACCTGTCAGGGTTGTCCTCTTTCTTCCTTATTATTTGCGCTAGTGTTGGAACCCTTGGCAATTGCAATAAGATCACATTTGGACATTTCTGGTTACCCATTATTGGTTTCACGTTTCAAAATATGTATGTATGCTGAATATGTTATGCTTTTCCTTACTAAACCATGTCATTGTCATTGCCTAATTTATGCACAGTATTGAATGACTTTGCATCAGTATCAGGTCTTACTGTAAATTTACTAAATCAGTAGTTATGCCTATCAATGTTCCTGATTCCCTGAGCGCATCTCTCCACAATTCTTTTCCATTTTGTTGGGCCACAGATCAGATTTCATACCTAGGTATTAACCTCACTCCCAGATACTCAAAATTATTTGCTGCTAATTACCCACCATGTATGTCACACCTTTCTACTCTGTTGAAGATCTGACATGGATACCCTATCTCATTCTTGGGCAGAGTGTCGCAGCAGTTAAAATGAATGTCTTGCCTAAATTACTTTATCTATTTAGAGCACTCCCAATCCTTGTCTCGAAAACGTTTCTAGATCACTTTCAACGGATGATTAACAATTTTATTTGGCGTAATAAACACCCTCGTTTTATTTCATCGGTCCTATACCGGTAGCAATGGGCGGGAGGTCTCGGTCTCCCCAATTTCTGGCTTTACTACCTGTCGGCCCGTTTCGCACAATTATCTCAATGGGCGACTATTAATTCCCAGATCCCGGATCAGATTTGAGTCTCAGTCTATACGTCCGTTCTATTTACCAGGCATATTGTGGTTCTAAATACCCCCTGCTCGTTATGGATCCATAATTCCATTGTGGCCCAATCATTGATGCTTTCGTCTCGATATAAACTTAGATTAAATCTGGTCTTCTCTGTCTCTCCAGGTTCATCATTTTTTGGCGACCCAAATTTTATTACGGCTTTTTCATCTCCACAGGCGTTCCGTTGGTGGTACGATAGATCCTTTATTAGGTTATCTGACTTTCAAAGAGGAAGATCTTATATCACCTTTGAGATGCTACGCATACTTTTTGATATCCCACTTCGTGAATATTATCATTATCGACAGATTAGACATTTTTTAAATTCACATTTTTGGTCTTATACCTTTATCTCCGATTTTGTTTTTCGAAACGTATTAGCCGTGACTCTCCTAGGAGCAGGGGTCTTATTTCAGATTTCCAATTTTTGCTTAGTTCTTTTCCCACACCCCCTGTTATAGACAAAACTTGGAAACTGATAGTGGTATTACCTTTTCAGATTAGGATTGGGATTTCATGGTGGATAACATACGTAAGAGCTCCAGATCTCTTTCTGTCTGTGAGACAGCCCTCAAAGTATTAACCAGATGGTATTATACCCCATCTAGACTACATGTCCTGTATCCAGGGATGTCCCACCTATCTTTTCGGGGCTGTGGCCTTACCAGTACTCTGGTGCATACATTTTGGGCCTGCCCAGGCCTCTCTTTGGTGTGGTACAGGATCTCTGAGGTGGCTTCTGCATTGGCGGGTGCTCCTGTGCATCTGACTATGAAGTCCTGCCTATTGGGAGCCCATATCTTGGGAGTTCATACTGAGGTTATGAGGCTAATCCACACCATTTGTATATCCACCCTATGGGCTTTTGCCCAACACTGGAAATCTCTCATGGTACCATTGGCCTCTGTTCTGCATAGGGTTAATGCTGTCATGCTCATGGAAAGAATTCATTACACTTTACTGGACAAGATGCACTTATTTGATAGAAAATGGGAAATTTGGAGAACTCATAGACATTTACTACATGACTATGGACACTACTCTGTCGGTAGCTGTATAATTCTGCCTACCTCTCTATTTATATTGCCCATGTACTTAAATTCTTTCTCTCTTTTTCTCTTTCTCCTTTTCTTTTTCTTTACTCTACATGATTGTACCTTCTGAAATGTACATTTCAGTTGTGCCTTGTTTCTGTTTTACATACTGTTTGAAGCTGTAATGTCACTTTACAATCTATTTCTTGAAAAATAAAATCGTTTGTAAACAAAAAAAATAATTTACCTATGGAACTGTTTAGTTGTTATGCTAGCTTCCATATCTAATTACCGTTTTTTTCACTCCATAAGATGCACTTCCCCCCCCCCCAAAAAAAAGGGGGGGAAAATGTCAGTGCGTCTTATGGAGCGAATATGGAGCGGCCGGTCCGGTATTTCCAGCGCTGCCATGTCATAATACCGGGCCGGGCCGCTCAGCTCTGCAGCGGGACCTTATGGAGATGACTGCTGACCTTTGGAGAGGTGGGGAGCAGGTACCTGAATTTGACAGGTACCAGCTCTTACTTCCGCGGAGTTGTTCCTTGACCTTACCTGTTCCTCTATCCAGCGGCGCGCTGTCTTCCCGGCTTCTGTAGTGTGGGCGCTGGGCTTGACAGCCAGGTGCCAAGTGCGCATGCGCAAGAAGCGGTGCTTTTTGTGAATGGTAAGGCGGTATCTGGGACACATGACAGATCCCCAGGAAGCCGCCTGACCAATCACAAAGCGCAAGTGCTTCTCGCTCATGCGCACTGGTCACCCAGCTGTCATGCCGAGTGCCCACACTATAGAAGCCGGGAAGACAGCGCACGGGCTGGATAGAGGAACAGGTAAGATCAAAGAAACACTCCGCGGAAGTAAGAGCGGGTACCTGTCAAATTCAGGTACCCGCTCCCCCCCCCCCCCCCAAAGGTCAGCAGTCATCTCCTGTACTGTCCGCAGTCTCTGGTCATCCCTGTGCTGTCCGCAGTCTCTGGTCATCCCTGTGCTGTCCGCAGTCTCTGGTCATCCCTCTGTGCTGTCCGCAGTCTCTGGTCATCCCTGTGCTGTCCGCAGTCTCTGGTCATCCCTGTGCTGTCCGCAGTCTCTGATCATCCCTGTACTGTCCGCAGTCTCTGATCATCCTGTACTGTCTGTCCGCAGTCTCTGATCATCCCTGTACTGTCCGCAGTCTCGCATCCCTGTCTGTCCGCAGTCTCTGGTCATCCCTGTGCTGTCCACAGTCTCTGGTCATCTCCTGTACTGTGTCCACAATCTCTGGTCATCTCCTGTACTGTGTTCACAGTCTCTGGTCATCTCCTGTACTATGTCTGCAGTCCATTAGTTCAGAATTTTTTTTTCCTGTTTTCTGCCTCTAAAACTTAGGTGCATCTTATGGTCAGGTGCGTCTTATGGAGCGAAAAATACGGTATAATAGCTTACACAAACTTGGGTATATAAATAATTTGCTGAAATTTTGTTACAGCCTTTCATTGTAGAATAAAAAGGTTGGCTGTTTGTAACATCTAAAGTAAGAAAGATTGTGTATGGCTCTATTGCACTTGCCAACATTAACATTTTTTAACATGCATTTCTAATGAAGCTATTATAACCAACTAGCAGTTATTATTTTTATTTTGCAATATTAAATTAGCCTACTGTAACTGTAGAGAAAGAAGATTTGCACAATATATTGGTGTTGGATGTAGTGTATGTGCATGTAATGCAAAACAATATGCTTCTATTCACAGGCACTGAACACAGCCTCTGTGCATGCAAGGTAAAGCAAAGCTGTGAAAATGACAGTATAGTACAGTAAAAAAAAAAAAAAAAAAAATATATATATATATATATATATATATATATTCACGTAAGCAAAAATGCGATCATTTTTTCACAGCTTTAAAACAGGCAACTATTATAAATGAAGAACATATTAACTTCAGAGGGAATTATTTACTAATGAAAAATGGGAATGGAAATGTGCAGAGCAGGATGAGACAGGACTTTACCTGATTTTAAACAGTACAGGCACTTATTTTTAATGTTGTACATAGTTACACCCGCAAAGGGGCCAGTATGAAATGATCTATCAGGACTTAATTTTCTGACTAAAATTCCACTTTAAATTGCTTCTCCTGGAGGACCTGAAATCCTACTTTTCCTGCATGTTAGGGGGGCAGGGAAGATGACAATCCAACAGCAACAATAATTTGTGGGGTGGAATTTTCTGCAGGTAGAATGGAACCTTAATTCTGGAGACACAGCTTTCCTAAATTAATTCTATTTTTCCCAGTACACCATTGATGCTCCAAGCTCCAGTAAGGATTTTCTAAAGATAATTCATTCAGTATTTGACCCATATATGGCCTGCATTAGGATGAATGTTCTTATTCAACTCTTTTTCCCAGTAGACCATGGACGCTCCAAGCTCCAGTTAGGATCCATACTGATACCACTGGTTTGGATGCAGTGCTCTAATGAAACACCATTTTGCTACATATGCTTGCAGGAATTTTTAATTGCCTTAGCTGCACTGACACCATGAGACAATGGGGGAGATTTACTAAACCTGGAGGGTGCAAAGTCTGGTGAAAATCTGTATTGAAACCAATCAGCTTCTAGCTTCAGCTTGCTCAGTTACGCTTTAACAATAAATCCTGGAAGCTGATTGGTTTCTATGCAGAACTGCACCAGATTTTACACCCTCCAGTTTTAATAAATAACCCACACTGCATTCTTTAACAAAAACATCTAAAGCATTACAGAAACATAACCCTTACATAAATCAGGGATCTTATATAAATCACATTGTGACTAGCTTATTTTAATCTCAGGTGTGTTATACAGTTTCACATTGCACCTGTGATCCAGCATCCAGTGGGAGAGAAAATACAAATAATAATTTAGCATTTCTTTTTGTTTTTGAATAGTATTACATTAATCGATATAGTGCACATGTATTTCATTGTGTGTATTCCATACTATATAACCATTATGTGTTTACCAAGGCATTAAAATGATTTTTTTTGGGTATTTCTGAAGTTTTCTAAATGGTGTATTGCAAAATAGCAATGCATTTTCACACATATTTTAATGTTACAGTAATAGTGTAAATAACCTGTAAAGCATAATTGCATTCATTCTGTGTTTAACAAACATAGCAATCGATGTGTGTATGTCAGCATGGGGCAGCGATCAATAAAGCTCATTATCTATTTGTCATGCGGTGTGCTTATAATTTAAATACATACCTATTTCATTGTTACAGCCTTACTTTTCAAACCATAAGGGGCTAAAAGGAATAACAGTAACACACTTTGAAATTTCTGCACATAAATAGCCTCTTAAAAGGATTAAGAATAGTTAAACAAATGTCCCCATTTCCATGCCTGAATGTGCTGCAATAATTCAAGATCCTTGGCCCTTTGCCAGCAATGGTCTTTAACCTCCTTGGCGGTATTCCTGAGTGTAGCTCGGGGTAAAATTTTAGTACCAAGTGCGGTAACAAACCCCGAGCTACACTCGGGCTTACCATGCAGCGTTGCTCAGGGAGTCCCTGCAGCACTTACCTTGTCCTTCGCTCCCGCGATATGTCCCCTGCAGCATCCCCGGCCATCTCCTCCGGCTTCCGTGTTCCGGTCCCTGTGACGTCGGGACGTACGGGCGCCGGAACCGGCGGCAAATTTGAAATTTTGAAAAAATTTCATTTTATTTAAAATGATTATTATATAGTAAAACATTGCTGTTTCAATGCATTTCACATATATTTTGTCCCTAGAGCTTTGTCCTGTGCCCTGCCTGCATTTTGACTGTTCTTTCTGCCTGGAAACTTAGAAAAGTCCATGGCGTCCAAAAAGCGTCCCTTTATGTCAAAAGCAGTTTTAGACCGGCTAGAGAACAGCGCTAGTAAATCAGAACCACTTGCAGAATTGAGTGATAATGATTTGTGGGGAAATTCGTCATCAGACACTGAAAACGATTTTGCGACTTTGCTCAGCGATGTGCGAATTTGCCTCTGTATTTCAAATTTCAGTGTTTTTGGTTTGATTATATTATTGAATTAAATATATTATTATATTATTATTTTTTATGATTATTTATTAAATTATAATTTATGATTTCGTGTTTCAAGTTTTATCATATCCAGAATGTTTACTAGACTCTTGTTCAGACAGATTTCAGTGAGTTATTCCTAAAAATTACAGCCTACAAATAAAAAATTACATATTTCCATGCAAAAAAATGGTACGCTTTCAGCACAAAAAATCTGAAATAATCATACCGTCAAGGAGGTTAAAAAAAGTTTTGCTAGCAAAAAAAAAATTGCAACTACAGTGAAGGAAATAAGTATTTGATCCCCTGCTGATTTTGAATGTTTGCCCACTCACAAAGAAATGATGCATAAATCAGTGCATAATTTGTTAGACATGCATTTCTTTTGAATTTTTTTGTTGCTATTCTGTCTCTCAGTGTTAAAATACACCTACCATTCGATTTTTTTAGACTGATCATTTCTTTGTGAGTGGGCAAACATTCAAAATCAGCAGGGGATCAAATACTTAATTCCTTCACTCTACATAATCTTTATATGTTAAATGCTACAGGAATTCCTGAATACAATATATATTCCTTCCTTGTTATGGAAGAAGAGATTAACAAAAGTATTCTTTTAGTAAATCAGGCCAAAAGTATCTCTAACTAATTCCTCTCTGACTTTTAGAACATTCAACTCAGAGCAAACCTGCAAAAGCTCCAGTTATATTATGAGAGTTTTAATTTTTTTTCTTCTGGACAACAAATGCACTCAAAATGTTCTCTGCCAGCAAATACCTACCATGTAAATAAACAAATGATGTAATATGGCATATTAAGAATATTTAGTGGAAAGTAGTGTGCCTAGACTTGAAGAGTGCACAAGAGAGAACATTCGTGACAAATAGATCAGTTCAGACCACTGGTCTAGTTTGCAGAACCAATAATTCATGGAGTAATCTAAAGATAAACTGAAACCTTTCCAGAGCAGTTCAGAAAGTAGGTTATGGCTCAGGTTTATGAAGAAAAGAAATCAGTCTTTTCTAGAGGAGTTTACAAAATTGGTCATGCAAAGACAGGTCAACAAACCAGACTGAATAAAACTGACTCCTTTTCAGTGGAGTTTATGCTATGGGTCATATCAAGGTAGATTCCAGTACACTCCAGTGTACAAATAAAAAGCTGACATATTTTCACAGAAATTCATGGTGCGAGATAAGACAAAGCAACAAGTCAGAACTTCAGTGCACAAAAGAGACACCTTTCTAGGGAAGTTCTCAAAGTTGGCCATAGCCACTACTTACAGAAGTAGCAAGTCCATTCTCCACGATATAAAACATAATTAACAATAGAGGCATTCTTAATTTCTTTGTAGCCTTTCTGGCAAATATTATATTTTAACATGGGAAGTGTAAAAATAAAGGTTGCCTACTTATGCATGAGCCTGTTCATTCCTTGTTTGTAAAATGTAATCTCCTAGCCAACATATCACATTTCTTAAAAAAATGCTAGATTACAACATTTCTTTCTTTGAATATTTAATTATCAGAAGGCTGGTTGGTGGATAAGAGTTGTCAATGCATCCAACATTCCCCTCCGTCTTCAATTAATGGACCTTCCTTGAAATTACCCCTGAGGATTTTATTCAGCTAACACATGGCTGCCAAGACTCTGAGAACCAACATTTCTGCTACTACCAGGAAATAATATTATACTGCATTTTGAAGTAACTGGAGTTTCTATTTCAAAAGAAATAGGTTTACACAAATATACACATATTTTCATAAATATAATTCCATTTTTTCTGTAGATCAAACTGACATCCTACAAGGGGAACAACTGCCTAACAATCATGGTGTGAATTTAGTGCATTTTTGTATGCAAATAGTTTGCTATTCTAAATACGTACAGTAGCTTATGCAGTATTACCATGATCACTGAACCCTATCTATCTTCTGGGCAAGTATCCAGATATAGTTGACTGTATGTAAATCAGTATCACATGCAGTAGATAAACCTATCACTTTCTTATTTGATTTTTTTGTTAAATGTTTGTAACCTTTTAAATCTTTAAAAAGTACTTGTCATTAAAAATCAAATATATCATAGTTGAGCTCAGCCACTGTTGCTACAGTGGGAGGGATGAGTGCACATGGGTAGGTTTAGAATAAAGGAAAGTACTAATTCCTGTGATGCTGGAGGTGAGTGCTTATTGTATGGTGCATCTCAGCTTCTTAGCAGGACGGAACTGGTTGTTACAATGGGAGTTTTCAAGCCAAGCTTTAGGGGTGGCCCATATGTACTGTATGGTATTTATACTCCACAAAATTCAACTGCACATGTTTTTTACCTACTGGGAACTAATTTTAATCAAAAGATGAACTTAAAAATTGTAAACCCAGTGATCTGTGCAAAACATGTTTAACTGATCAATATGTCAATGTAGTTGACTATATTCTCTTCTTCCAACACAAACTTACTGCACTTGAGATGTTTATTTATAAGGCTGATTTATTAATCACTTGCCCACCGCCCTATAGTAGAAGTACTGCTACAGGGCAGCAGGGCTGCACAAAATCACGTACATATACTTGAATTGCATTTCTAGGTAGGGGGCGCTCACGTGCCACCCTACCCACGCTGCCATTGGCGGCTATGGATGTCAATCACCGGGTCCTAGCCAGAGATTCCCTGCCGGAACCAGGCGATCTCCCAGTAAAACTGACAGGGGAGAGAGCTGTGTGTAAACAAACACAGGTCTCTCTCCTGCCAGCAAGGACATGCTGCTGTGTATTTCTCTGCCATTGGCAGCTACAGATGTCAATCACGGGGCCCCAGCTGGAGATTCCCCATCGGCGAGTAACAGCACAGGTCTCTCTCCTACCAGCAATAACATGCTGCTGTGTATTTCTCTGCACAGCAGCATGTTTCCCTAGTAAACCACACACAGGACATGTTGCAAAACAGCACACAGTTAACCCTTTGATCGCCCCAGGTGTTAACCCTGGGCTATATATATCGCCATTTGTAGACGCTATAACTTTTACGTAAACCAATTAATTTACATGTATAGGGATTTTTCTTAGCAAAGACATGTAGCAGAATGTATTTTGGCCTAAATTTATGAAGAACTTTGATTTTTTAAATTTTTTTACTAGATATGTTTTATAGCAAAATCACAAAAAAAAATTTATTTTCAAAATTGTCAGTCTTTTTTTGTTTATAGCTCAAAAAATAAAAAATGCAGAGGTGATCAAATACCACCGAAAGAAAGCTCTATTTGTGGGTGTTGCATGACCGCACAATTGTCAGTTAAAGTAACATTTCTAGGGGGCGTTCCATACACCATCTGTGTAAAGAATACCTCCAGGTTGCCATATTGCATTCAATTTTACAGAAAACTACAGTGCTGCAGTTTAAAAAGGAAACATTTCTTTAAATAATATTAAATTACAATATAGCTTTTGTAAAGATGTATTTGCTATATTATTATTTTTTTATTTGCTATATTTTACTTCCACGCACCTGGAGTTACCCTTTAAGAAAGTTCACTTCAATGATCCAATCATGTAAAAAGCAAATTCCAGTTTGTTTTATTACGTCTGCACATTATTGGGTATTTAAAATTGGCATAGCTCTGATTTAGTAAATGCAGAATCTTCATTTCTTTAAAAAAAATCAAGCCATAGGATCAATTTATTAAGATGGATGAGTTAAACAAATGTCTCGGAGATGAATATACAAACGAATATTACAAACATTTCGTCTCTGAACAATCCCCTTACCAAGCCAAACTCTTTAACCATGCTGCCAATTCTGGCTTCTTTCCCACAGAAATGTTGCAATCCATAATAACGACTATACCAAAACCTGGTAAAGACCCCCGACATGTCCAAAATTATAGACTCATATCTCAAACGTAAAACGCTTTGCAAAAATCCTAGCTCACAGACTACTCTCATTTCTCCCTAAACTGATCCACCCAGACCAAGTAGGATTCATACCAGGTCACCAAGCTCTAGATGCCACCAGGAGAATACTTTCCCTACTACATCACCTCCAACTCCCTAAACCGCCCTCTCTGCTTCTATCTTTAGACTCAGACTAAGTTTTTCACCGTATACATTGCGGTTTCATGCAAGCAATCCTACAAAAAATTTGGTATCATAGGCTGGATACAAACAGCCATTATGTTTCTATACTCTGCCCCCTCAGCCAAAGTACTTACTAATGGGAAATGGGACGCTATCGAAACCATTCAACATTACAAATGGCACTAGACAAGGATGCCCCCTATCCCCTATAGTCTTTGCCCTTCTCATTGAACCCCTAGCATCAAAACTTAGAGAAGAAACATTATTCTCCGGCATCTCACATCATAGCACTGAACACAAAATCAGCTTATTTGCAGATGACATTATACTAATACCTCTTCCTACCACCCACCAGGATTAGACTCTAACACCCTTCCTTGTTACTACCCCACCCCCTTCCCCTATCCCCCACCTTGTTTGTAATCCTCCTTCCCCCTCCTAAGGTTCAATAACATACTTTAATGGATGAATATTGTCTCATAATCACATGTAAATCATCTACTTCCACACTCATAGAAGTGGAACCTCAATGACCTGTACTGTATTGATATTTCCTATGAATATGAACCTGTCTATTGTACCCTATTTATACCCTTTTTGGAAAAATTGAATAAAGAACATTCAAATTAAGATGGATGAGTTATCTTATTTCTGCTCCCTATATTTTTATCTCACAATAATTTTTTCTTAAAAGA